ATGAGCAGAACTCCAAGCCAGGGTGGTCTAACCCCAAAGCCTTGGTTCCTTTTAATTCCACTGCCCATTTTCCCAACTGATAAGCAAGATAACAGGCCAAGTTTTATACAGCAATTCATAACAGAAATAGAAATGTTGGTGTGTCTGTTGTAGAAGCTGTGACAGTGACCACATGCTGCCTCACTGCCTAGAAGAAGGAACAAAGCCACCATCTCTTATCAGAGGTGCCTAAACTCCCCAATCCTTCACTTCCACCCTGGCCAAAGCCTGGGAAGCTACAAGTAAGCTTCCACCCAAGAAATTTTCTCCTAAGCAATTTTCTCAATAAGTGTATTTATCAGAGTGATGCTAAGTAAGATGTGACTTCAAATAATTTAAATTTTAAAATATAAGCTTTCTGTTGCCATAGATCAATTAAACCCCCTCGATTTTATGGTCAGATTGACACAGGCATATTTATCACTGTTTGCCTTGGGAGCACTGCTCTTGCCCTCTGTGTTCAACAAGCTCAGCAGGCAACCCACTCAAACCACTCAGGGCCCTTGGAGGAGAGAACGGGGCCACCAGGGAGAACTCTGGCCTTTCCCAGTCAGAGAAAAGGAAAATGAAGCTGGAACAACTCATTAACAAGCTCTCTGTGCCTTGAGCAGATCAAGGAACCAGCACGGACTAAAATTTAGGATCTCTTTATTGATCAGCACAGTAAAAGTAAAATATGAAAACCCCAAAAACAAGCTCAAGGGAGAACTTGGGACAATGAATATTTAAATATTCTTGGTACAGAAATTGGTACAACCTCTCGAGGGCAATCTGACATCTGTATCAAAGCCCCCTGGCAATTCTGTCTCTAGAAAAATGTCCGTAACAACTAATCAGAGACACATTTGTCAATCAGTATTACAAGGCTATTTATAATAGAGAATTTATAACAGTAAAAAATCTGGGAACAATCTAAATGTCTAACACTAAGAAATAAAAAACCATTAAAACTATAATGCAATATTTATTGAGGTGGGAAAATACTTCCAACACAATGTAAGCATCATTTTTTAAGATATTTGGCATTAATAAAGACAATAAAATGTTAACAATGGGGACTTCTGGGTTGTAAGACTATCAGTGATTTGAGAGAGGTGTTTTCATACCTTTCTGAGTTTTCCAAGTTTCTGTGTTGATCATTGTTCTCATAAGAATAAAAAATTTTTGAAATAAAAATCTAAGTTACAGTTTCATGGAGATGTAGACATTGGACTGATGAACATTAATGCATTCAAGTTTAAGGGGCAACCTGATTAGCTCACTGAACCCTCTACCCCATTCCAGGGTAGATAGCACAACCCTGCCCCCAGAAGCGTTGTCCAGGAACAATGAAACCTGGAATGAAAGGGTGGAAAAGAGAAATGTTTAAGTCTTTTAAAGGAGCCAGAAATGTTATTCGGACCTATTGTCTTGCTTCCCTTTCCAATTTACAACCTCATAGGACACATACTAGTTCAAAGGTCTTTCACTCCCCAGGACAAAGTCATAGAAACAATACAGCCTGAATTTCCATGACCTTCTGCATGGAGATGTAAACAGTTTAATATTGGATAACCCAAAAGAAGGAAAGGAGGACTCATGATAGTTAATACAGAAAGAAGACTGAAATGGAATGGGAAGAAAAAAATGCATAGCGACTTAAAAGTTCAGAACTTATAAATCTATACCCACCCTTCCCTCCAGCACAAACAGGTGGCCATAGGGAGAATCAGCAGAACCATCACTTTCATAAATAAGATTAATAATGATGATGGTGTATGGCTATGAGTTAATGGTAAGACAACAGAGAAGGATGATCCTAACATTAGTGGTTAACTGAAGCCTGGAACCTCCCTTATAACTAACATCTTGACAAGACGTAATACAGGTGTGACCACATAAGAAGAAATTCACATGTTAGCATATGCACAGAATATCTCTGGAAAACTACAAAAAAGTGAGCAGTGCAGAGGAGAACTGGAAGGTTATAGGACATAAGAGCAAAGGAGACATTCTCTTCACTATTTGTAGTTGTGCCATGTGCACACATTAACTACTCAAAAAATGAATAAATAGAACTCCTTGCCTGAAAACAAACTGTGGCCCAGAATACAAATGGACTGCAGCTGATTTTACAATCCATAGGAGTAGCAAAATTTGTACTGGGGTATCACTCTGTTTAATACACTGACATGACTCTGGATGTGAAAAGAAAACCTGCAGAGATGTTCTAAAAGGGCAAGGGGGATTTTTTCTGCATATAAGAAAGTGAGAAGAATTTTGTGTTTCTGAGGACAGCTCTGGGAAGAGGATAAGTGACACGGAAAAGAGAGGAAGGGGCTGGGAGAGAGGGGCATCTGGTCACATGCAGGAAGCGTGACCATCATGAGAAGCATGGCCAGGGAGTACGCCAAAGATCTATGCTGTGTCAAACTTGCCTGCTGCTGTGTGCTGCAATTACCACCTCAGCCCTCCCCGTACACCTCCAACTGTCAGTAGAAGTCTGTAATACATAGTAATATGGTGTTGGGCTTTGGAGAAAAAAATGGGAGTGTCCCAAGTAGGACCAGACAAGCTGCCCAGAGGAAGAACAGCAGACAACAGAGCAGAGACATGGCTAGAGAAGGGAACTATGGTGAATCTGGGGGCAGGGCAAACTGACCAGGAGTTCCATGGAAACAGTAAAGGGGGCTATGGAGAAAGGTTCTACAGAATGCCGGATGGAATTCACAATATTTCATGTGGTATGATGATCCCTGCAGCTTTGTGGGCTGGGATCATCTGTTACCTACCCACTTTTTAGGAAGGTAAGTGTATGATCTCCTTTCTCTTTCCTTCTCCATATTCTATCCCCTCCACTTTTTTTCAAAAGGAGGATTAGCTGAGCATCTCAAACATCTTTAATGGTGATCCAGCTGAAGGCAAAGATAGATACCAGTGTCTGAACACGCTCATGTCTTCCTCTGACACCCAAGAGAAACAGTGTTGCCTTCCCTCACCTTTCATTTAGGTAAATAGGACAGTCAAAGATGATCCAGTCCCAATTATGCCCATGTCAAGTCAGGACTGCTTTACTCCATTCTGGTCTGCAACTCCCTCCAGCTTAATCAAGTCCTAATGTAAACCTTTCCTGAATCCTAGACCTGGCTTTCCCTTTGCTCGTCTCTGCCCTAAGCCAGCCAGAACCCAGTGTGCAGATCACACACTGACCACAGCACTGACAAGAATAAGCTCCTAACCAGTTTAATAGTTCCTGAACTTCAACACTATCAAAACGTCTCACATCTAAATAAATAAATAAATAAAAATCATAACTCCTCTCCCTCTCACTAAATTTGCCTGCCTCAGGACCCAATATTTCCTCTGATAAACCCTTGTACATCCAGCCCCTCAGAAAGAGGAGCCCCTTCACACCACCAACCCCACTCACCATACACCGACATATACCACCCCACCCAGGGTTCAGCCCTCTCTCTGCCAAAGGAAGACAAGGCCCCTGAGTGTGATAAAGATGTCTGTTTCCTCAGTCTTGACAGCCCAGTCCCATTACTTGGGTCAGCTGACACTCTCCCTCAAGGGGCCCAACCTCTCCAAACCCACATCCGGGCTCTCACCAGCAAGGCAGCCACAGCCAGAGCCTGTAGAAGCCAGTCACACAGAAAGAACTCCTTTCAATGCCCACAAAAGAAACTTTTGCCTGAGTTCACGCTGCAGAGTTATTTAAAAGGCACACATATCTAAGGCAGGTTCAGTCCAGGCTATGTTCTCCATCCTTCGGACATTGGGACCAAAAACCATCCTTAATGTCTTAAAAGTCAGCATTTGTTTGTTTGGCATCCTCTCATCACTATTCATTACTTTGCAACTTTTCAGTTTCCACATCTCCCCACAAGTCCAGAAAAGAACACCCACAGTATCCACTCTTTACATCACCCTCCAGATGCCCCTTCCCTGGAGAAGTGGCCTTGCAGCATGGCCATGTTCTACTGAGCACCACCCAGACACTCTGCTGGTTCAGCTTAACCTTAAATCCCCTCTACCTACTGGTGCCTTAAGGCCCTTAGTTTTGTCCATGTTCTCTCAGACTCTTAATTCCTGACCCAGAAGTTGGGAAACAAAGGCTCCAAGATGTGGAAAGAAGAAAGCGCCTGAGCCCTGGGGTGGGACTTGGGCTCCTCATCTCTCCTTTCACCCCAAGACAGTTGGTTCCATTCAGCAGATAGAACAGGTCACAAGTGGACACCTGAGGGAAAGCCCTGCATGGGACCAGCTGCCTAGGAAAAACCACCACCCTGACAACTGCCCCTTGAGCCCACCGATACCCATTTTCCGAGCACCTCCTACTCCCTGACCCCAAACCAGTCACAATTTAAAATCTTAGGAAGAGTTTAAATAACTGTCTGTATTCTCCATTGGAACAATATACAAGATCACACTTAGCTTTTGTCAAGACTGGAATAGTTGTTAGAGTTTTCCCTCCCACCCACCCCATGTCAATTGTGTTTGAATTACTTTGAAATATAATCTGGGAGAAATAAGTATTTAAGGCTCCAATTCATAAAAAGGCAAAAAAAAATAGAAAGAAAGAAAACACAGACATATACTCTACCTGTAATGTGGCAAATCTTTGGGAAATGGAGTTGTCCAGAAGAGCATTCTTAAATGCCCCCAAAGCATGCCTGCTGATTCCATTTTATTCCTCCCCCAAGAGTATTCTAACTTGTCTGCATGAGTATCAGTGAGAAAGGAAAAGAACAAAGTGAAATTCTCCTAGGAACTTATGTGACATGGATGATGCTCATGCTCACTGCTTTTTCAGTGGCATAATGAGTCTAGCCAGAAGAATCATTCAATGGGGTGCAGGTCCACGTCTTGGATCCCTGCACCTAGGCAGAGCCAGAGCAGGTGACTTTTACCTGCAAGCTGTTACCAAAGGCACTGGGTCTCCCAGACCTGGTCTGTGTCTTGTGAAGGTTACATACCTCAGAAGGTTAAAACTCAGATCAAGCCTCTTTGCGAAATGTCCATAGTCCCTGCCGAGGTGCTCTGGAATTTCTCTGCAGTTCTGGCCTATGTAGGACACCTGGAAATTAAATGGAACAGAAAATGTGGCAAATGGAAATCGCGCAGCTGCTGGCAGCCCTGAGTCATTGATCCGGTAATTGCTTCCGCAACTTTAAAGGCAAGCTCCTCACACAGGTTTTTTTTTTTTTGCTGTTTTTTTTTTTTTTTAAGGCCATATTTGTGGCTGCTTTTCTGATCAGATCAGCTTTGGGGGCTTCAGGACTCCACCAACAGTTCTCCTTTCCTGGTACAGTTAGCATGATAAAGACTAATCCCACCACAATAGAAATTGGACTAAAATTGGCCGGATTTAGATGTCAAAAAAAAAAAAAAAAAAAACCCACAAAACACCTACTAGTGTCAGAGCATGGTGATATAATCACAGCAATTGGCCTCTCATTCAGGGGCCTTTCCAACAGCTGCCCCTCTGGCTCTCCTTCTCCTCCACTGTCCCCCATCTTTCCCAAATACCCTGGTATGCACACCACCTCATAAACACACAGCAGATACACTTACCAGCATTCAACCTGCAGGAAGCTGAACAAATAGGGTTGGACAAGAAAACCTTCCCAGACTGCCAATCCCATCTTATTACCACTGTGTATTAAATGTCCATCTCACTCTGAACAAAGCTTATTCAAAGGCAACAGGACAACGACAAATGGGCAGGACTTCCAAATCTCCCTCATCAAAGGAGCCTTTTGCAATCAACACCATTCTACTTGTAGAGCTGTTCCCTTAGGCATTATTTTATTTATATTATTATTAATCTAGTGTGTGCCCAAATATTAAGAGAACGAACTAAAATTTGATCCCAAAACGTTGGATTGTGACAACGTCAAAGGGCTATCTCACTGCTCCAGTCACCCAGTTTTTGAAACGCATTTTTACAGACAGCACCCCATGGGCAGGCTTGGCAACTCATTCCAAAACCCATTAAATAAGCTTGTGGGTCAGAGTTGGCCAGTGGGTCATGATACATGATACTTCCCTGAAGGACTCCTCCTGAATTGCCAGGTAGAAATTCAGGCCCATCATACAGCTACAGCCTTGATCCTCTCCCATCCCCGCCAGCCACAAATCCACATTCTTCTACTCATACAGACAAGGATGTCTTGGAATGAGTGAGACTCCCCAAGGAGTTATGATTCCTAATGGGAGACAAGAATATGGTGGCCATCTCAGATATTAGGTTTAACCATGTGAATTACTAATATTAAATCATTTTAGAACTACAAAAATACTTTCACATGGCTCAACCTAATACAAATCACACTTCACCCTAGCACCCTCAATGTTTCATCTCTCAATCCTTTCCTATCCAACGGAGACAAACTTCTGACAATACAATATCCTGTATTCACTGTCCTTCAGTAACTTCATTCCTAGAGGAAAGAAAGTAGGGAGAAGAGAAAGAAAAATAGCTGGCTCCAATAAAATAATTTTGACTCAGGAAGGTGCAGGCTAAAAAACAAAGGGCTCTAAGTTCAAGCTAGCAAGTTCTCCCTGCTCTGCCTAGGACTCATCTTTCTTCAGAACCCCTTGTATAATAACTTAACTTCTGCTTCCAAGCCAAGATGGAATCATAAACCAAGGAAAGGCTAGGGATATAAAGCTCAATCAATCTAGGGACTTCAATTTCCCTCGCTGTGTTCACTCAATCAGCAGCCTGTTCTGTATGATAAGTTCATATTGACCCCCAGGTCCATAGTGCTCACCATAAAACCCATGCCTTTCACCCAGGCATGCACCACTGTCTTGTACATATTATCATCATTCAAGACCTTTGATATATACACAACAGAGAAGCTGAGCTTTAGATGTAGCAACTGAGCTTTTTCCTCATAGATCCACCAAGGACTAAACCTATAAGCACCTGGTTTGTCAAAACCCCTCACATTCTATACGGGGAAACTAAGACTCCGGAGACCTGCCCAATGTAATAAGCTTCTTACTGATAGAACCCAGACCATGTCCTGCACCAGGAATAAGGACTTCTAACTTGCAGGTCATAGAGTTCTTACAAATCCACATGTGGATTTTCCTGATCAACAAATGCCAATGGCACATCTATCATATGTTTTGGCTTCAATTTGATTCTTCTTAACTGAAAGGTCAAACACTACTTCATGACATTGTGTTGAAGGCGCCAGAAAAGTGTCAGACACTAGGAAGGGAGATGAATATTTGTGCTCTTTTTTTTTTTTTTTTTTTTTTTTTTTTGGTAAGATTCCCCTTCAGAGGAAACAGTGACACCAAGGAGAGCTATCACCGCAAAGCATTCAAATCATTCACTACATGTCTGACAAGACTTTCATCAGCCTGTTTTATTACATGGTCTTAAACAACACAACATCCCAAGAAAACTAAACAAAGCACAACTTGTTCCCATTCCACAGAGACAAAGACCAAGTCTCCAAAATTTAATAGGAAAACCAACTTGATGAACCATTTGCATATTTGAACCACCTATATGGTACAATGGAAGCTTTTCGAGATAATTTTTGGGTGAAACCAACCAACGAATCATGCTGAAGGGTTCCAATCAGCTGGAACAGGCTTAAAGGCAATAGCCATTGCCAGGCACTGCAACCAATGCTCATAAGAAGAGACCTGTTTAAGAAGTGCTCCTCAGCAGAAGACATGACCTCTTAGGATGTCATGAAGCTTCTTGGAGCACACGTAAGATATGAGACCAGAAGAATCAGACCAAAAACCGTTAGCTTCTTCAGCAAACAGAGAAGGGAAGTACAGACTAATCTTAAAACAGCACAGAAGAGCACATTTAAAATGAGAAGTCATTGCATTAAGTCAACTATCTTGATATACACTAAACTGAGGAACAAAGTTCTATAATTTTAACTTGCCTACCTTATATAATTTGTACCCCAAGACTTACACCTTGTGTGAAATGATAGCATAAAGAGACACCATTATCAGGGAAATTAAAACATATCAAGTTAAAGACCCCTACAGAAAGAAACACCAGAGAGAAAAATATTGCCTGGGGAGGATTTCTACACATACATACACCCAACCCTGCTAAGGGGTTGCAGAAAATTACCAAACTGTAGCACACCATGGGTTTCTTTTTTGCAGCTGGGACATTCCGACTCCCAAGACATTTCTAGAGATGGTGGGTTTGTCCATAGTCACACTGAGAGAAGATTTTATGATACCTGGCCTCAGCCAGGGGTAAGGGATCCTTGATTTTGAATTTTCAGTACTGGCTCATCCATGTTTTCACAAATGGTAGGATTTCGTTCTTTTTTAATGGTCAAGTAATATTCCATTGTATATATGAACCACAGCTGTTTTATCCACTCACATATTGATGGGTATTTGGGTTGCTTCCGTATCATGGCTATGGCAAATAACACTACAATGAATACAGTAGTGCATATATCTTTTCAAATTAATGTTTTGGGTTTCTTCAGATAAATACCCAGAAGTGGAATTGCTGGGTCATAATACAGTTCCATTTTTAACTTTTTGAGTAATCTCCATACTTTTTTCCATAGCAACTGTACCAATATCTGTTCCCACCATTTGTGACAACCCAGATGAACCTAGAGGGTATTATGTTAAGTGAAAAAGTCATAGAAAGACAAATACTGTATCATTTCACTTATTTGTGGAATCTAGAGAACAAAATAAACAAACAAACAAAACAGAAACAGACTGATAGATACAGAGAACTGATGGTTGCCAAAGAGGAGAAAGGTCAAGAGAATAAGTGAGAAAGGTGAAGGGATTAAGAAGTGAAAATTAGTAGTCACAGGGATGTAAAGTTCAGCCTAGGGAATATAGCCAATAATATTGTAATAACTACATATGGTGTCAAGTGGGTGCTTGAATTATCAATGCGGAGGTCAGATCTCCTTGCAAATTATAAAATTGTCTAACCACTATGCTATACACCTGAAACTAACATAATGTTGAATGTCAACTGTAATTGAAAAAATGAATTTTTAAAAAAATAATAAATTTGCATTACTGGGAACCCTGTCAGAGTAGAAACAGGCCTGGCACAAGTTCGAGTCCTTATGCTGCTACTTACTAGCTGTATTATATTATCTTGGATGGGTCACAATTTTGTGGAGTGTGTTTCTTCTTCTGTAAACTAGTCAAACACCAACTGCCTCCAACATTTATTAAATGTCTACCACCTGGCTGTTATCTACTCGATTCTTATGAAACGGCTCCTTGAGTCATATATTATCCTCACTTTACTTATAATACAGGAATGAGATAACATTCTTTGAAACACAGCACTATCCTCTGCACCTAGCAACCACTGGATAAATAAGTGAATTATACCAATATCCCTACGGAAGGAATTTGGTTTTTGATGTCTGTTTGGCACAAAATTTCAATGCCCAGGTTTCAAGTCTGCACTTGGATCTACCATTATATTGAGGCCACTACTTTAATTGCCATAGCTAGTGGAAAAAGATTGAGAACTCTATGCTTTATATAAATGATGCATTCAAGCCAAGAGAAGGTCAAACGAAGTCACATCCAGGTTGAATTGAAGGTTTTAGAGAAAGTAGAGGGAGAACTAATCTCCAAGCATTTGATATTGAGGCCTGTAGAATTCTCATTATTTTAATTTTATTGGTGATATGGGTTTTTTGATACTTAAACCATCCCTTTATCTGAAGTTTATAGTACTCTAAATAAGAACTTAGAAAAAAGTTATATCTGGTTTTATATTTATATATTTAAGCAATATTGTAATAAAAATAATATTAACTCTATGGGCTAATAGAAGTTCCTCCCCCATTTATGAATAATCTACCAAAGTCTGAGAAGTACCATGTGACACATTCAAGATGTTATGTCTTATGATAGCTGTCAATAGAAACTGTAAGGGGCAGGATGCTAAAAGACCCTAACTTCTGGTCTGTCACTCAGGGTTAGAGTCTTCAGGTGGTTTTAGGACATGGGGCACTAATGCCCCAGAGGCATTTCCCAGCTCCTCCCCTGGCAGGTCCATCTGTTTAAAACAGTCCCCAG